ATAGTTTTATATTCAATATAGGCAATAGAAATAATATCAATACTGCATTATTTAGTTACGTTATTAACAATGATTATGATTATGCAATCTATTGTAATTCTAATCGGTTACCTACTTTTGGTCGTGGTACAGATCTTTCTTTTCTTCCAAATGGCAACATCATCTGTAGTAATTCAACGACTTATAGTAACATTTGTTTAGAAAAAAATAGTAAATATGATGAATTAGAAGTTTTTCAAATAATTGATAAAAGTTAAAATATAAAAACTATTATATATTATATTTTTTTTTTTCATATTTTGAATTAAGCAAGATTACATCATGTCATCAGGCTTAATTGCTTAGATTTACTATATAGAACGTTTATAAATGTGTATGACAAAGCTTAGCTTTATTTGAAACATGACGGTTAACTCTAGATGCAGCTACTGTGAAAATAATAATATTATATTTTTATTATCCCTTAAACTGTAGCACAATTTTTATGAAAATGTGATAAATTCGATACTGGAAAATCACTTATTATTACAAACAATAAATTTTTTGAATTTTTCGTAGTTATTTACATATTATTTAAGTTCATAACATTAATTATTCAATACAACTTTTGTTAATTATTTTTATTGGTAAAAATTTATATTCTAATAATAAGTATTTTTTTAGAAAATTTCACGAAAAATAAAAAGAAAACTTCACTCCTTGTGGAAATTGTTATAGAAAAAAATGACACTATTAAATCTTATACCATTTTTATTCCTCAGAACTTGAAGTTTAAATTTATTAAAGTTAATGTAAAGATATAATTAGTAAAATCTTCACTTCGTATGTATTAAATTTTTCGGAATGTAAAAAATTTTTATTCTTGATTACCATTTTTATTCCTCAGAACTTGAAGTTTAAATTTATTAAAGTTAATGTAAAGATATAATTAGTAAAATCTTCACTTCGTATGTATTAAATTTTTCAGAATGTAAAAAATTTTTATTCTTGATAAATAAAATTAATTAATCCTCATTTAAATTGATATTTTGTTCTTCATGATAAATTTTAAAACAGTTTCTATTATTATTACAACACAATGGAACATCACATAATGTACACCAAATATTAGAGAAAGAAGGTCTTTTATCTTTACCTATTAATAAATACCTACACAATACACATGAGTTTCTTTTATCACTTCTCCATTCTACAAGATGGTTATCAATCATCAATCTTTCAGCAGGAAGTTGATATTTAGATGTTATGTATATTAATTTTTTGTCTGGAAAGGAGGAAGAGGAAGTAGGAGTAACTTGTTGATTATTCCGTGTTGTCATTCCTAAATACATTTTTTCTTTCAAAGCATCTTCTATCAATACCCATAATAATTGTAATCTAAAGACTTTGTGAGGTAAATCATTTCTTAATATGTTACTTCTTTTATAAATCAAATAAGAATTAACTATTGCTGTGTCAAGCACCAAAAAAACAAAGGAACCCAAGTACGTCGAGCTGTTAATTGAGTTGAATAATAGCTTCTTAATTGATCAGCTAAATCAACTCCATTCATTTTATAATTATAATCATCAACTACACTAGGAATATCTATAAGTTTTTTTGGTTGGTTGCTAAAAACTTCAGTTATAGCTTCTCGATTTGTGTTAGTAATCCTTGTGCGGTGATGAACCTTTGCAACTTTAGAGTTTGGTCCAGTAATTTTATGAATTGTGGTTAGCATGGTTACAGGGCCATTATCTATCCACAAAAGAACCAAAACTTCATCAACTACAACACCTGAAAGTGTATTCCATTTTATACCATCTTTCTCCTTTAGCTTTAATTCACTGGGAAATTTAGCAGAATTTTTACGAACTGTTCCACATGCACCAATTCCTTTATCTCTTAAATATTTAAATAAACTAATACTTGAAAAGAAGTTATCCATGTATACATTAAAGGATCTATTAGTTGGTAATTTATTTATTAAATGAAAAACTTCGGATCCAGTTTTAGTCAATCCTGGAATTTTTTCTATATTTGAATTTTCTTTAATTCGGGAAGAAAATATGAATGTAAAAGTGTAGCCAGCATCACACAATGATAAAATTTTAACCCCTTCAGGAGTTGGTTTATTTTTTATTCTAAAAGTATGAGCACTTCTTCCTGAGAACCTTGCAATCATTTCATCAATAGAAACATCTGATGCTGGTATATAAATAGATTCAGAAACTTTCCTAATATGTGTAGACAAGGGTTCAATTTTTGGAAATAAGGTAGATTGATTTTGTGTATCATTAGGGTCTGAAATATGGAAGAATCTTTTAATCTGATAAAATATTTTTTTAATAATCAAATTAGTTTAGTTTAGTGATATATTAAATGTACATAATGCCACATACTTGTTGAAATCTAATTAGAGTCATATATTGAGTTATTTTATGTTTAGGAACTTTATCATCTGTGTTCCAATAATCTGAGACAGATGGAAATTTAAAAAGACCCATATATATTAATATTCCTAACCAATTTTCAATTCAGAAACAGTCAATGGATATCAATCTCTTCCTGTTCCAGCATCTTTATCAATTGCATACAAATTAGTATTTATGACAAGTTGATTAAAGATTTCATTTGTGAAAAAAAGCATAAAAATTGAAATTGGATTCAATTCTGTTAATAAATTTAATTCATGAGGCAATTTTACAATTGCATTGTGTAAATTGTATCTATGCACTAATGGTATAAATTCTGGAGGAGGTGGGAGAATATTAGAGTCATTATCATCAATTTGGGCTTTTTTCTTTTTTTTTTTTTTTGTATTGCTTCTACTACTTGTAGATTCTTCAGTACTATTTTCTTCTCTTATATCATCACTGATTTCAATAATATCAGTTGAAGCAAAGGTGTCAATATTCTCATTAACATTAGTTACTTCAGAATCCTCAAATTATTCATGTTCATTCCGTTTCAAAAAAAAATTGAATTCATCCTCATCCTCTGCATCTAAAAAACCTTCATATTCATAAATATTAATATTTGAAGAGTCAATTTTTTAATTAAAGTTTAAATAAATAAAAAATTTTATTGCAGTGTTAAAAAAAAAATTAATACAAAATGATCAGCAAAGTAAATTTTTTTTGTACCTTTACTTTGCACGATCATTTATCACCAAGAACAATATGTGACACTTTGTTTTTTCTTTAATGGGTTAATGATACAATCTCAAAAATCTTTTTTTAATTAGGAAATTATGTGTAAAAACTGCATGATAAAAATCTTTGTGTCTTACAACAAATCTGTAGCATATATGCTGCAGAAACAGTTTAAGGGATAAAAGATTTTGAAATGGTTGTATTACTTCTTTCTATAAGGTTTTGTTGCATTAGTTAAATTATGAATTTAATCACATTGACATATTGCGAGTTTTGCTATTATTATAATTTTTATTTTATAAATTATTTGGCAATTGTTGAAGAGGTGGTGTTTTTTTAACATGGTAGTTAACATACAGTTCCATCTTGGTTTTGATGAAAGTGATGGGTTTTCAGATGTCACAGGAAAGTTTAGCACTTTTTAAGGGTAAGGGGAATCACGTGCCAAATTATATATTAGATCCGGCTCAAAAATCCAAATTTATGCACGTTACATAGATAAGTTACGCGAAACGCGTTTAAACATCTTCAAAATTTTGTTGCGTGTAAATACAAAACCCCTTTAATTTTTTGGAAAATTTCAAACAAAATTAATTAGTAAAGATTTATAAAATTCTTGAAATTCTTCAAAAAAAGTTGCCAATCCCATAACAAAAGTATACAACATATAGTAAAAATTACTCTTTCTGAAATAAATAAATAATTTTAATTAATTTAAAGCAAATTTTTTACCAGCTTAATGATAGCTTCTTATTGTTTAGTAAAACTATCTTAT